TAAATAATGATAGTAGGAGATTCCATGTGTTTGTTGGGAATAGAGTTAGTCGCATCAGAGCGTTGACTGACCCTAAGCAGTGGCATCACATTGATGGCAAGTCTAACCCTGCGGATCTTGTGACAAGACCACAGTCTACCTTAAAGTCAGATGGCAAATGGTTCCATGGTCCAGATATTTTGTATAAGTATAAACATGACTGGAACTTAGGCGGAGGGAAACCAGTCGACTTGACAGATGATGACCCTGAGGTTCGTAAGTCTACTATTGTATCCCTTGACGCTGTCGCCACAGATCGTCTTAGTGTTGGTATTATTGATGACGTGTGCCATTCGAATTGTCTTGAGGATGATCCTTTAGTACAAATAATTCATCACTATTCCTCCTGGTATAGGATGAAGCGAGCCTTAGCGTGGTGGTTGAAGTTTGTTAAATATCTTTGGAACGGTAAGCCTGCCACTCAGTTGACCGTTGAGGAAATCCGTCATGCGGGTGATACTCTTATCCGCAAATCTCAATTGCAGTCTTTTGGTTCTGAAGTTGACAAATTGCAGAAAGGGAAATTTGTGAAAGCTTCGAGTTCCCTTAGAGCACTTAATCCTTACCTAGACAGTCAAGGGCTACTTAGAATTAGTGGTCGTGTGCATGGAGACCATAAAGGTCATAATTCGTGCATTGTCTCTGGAAAACATGTAATTGCCAAATCCATTTTGAATGATATCCATAGTGTGGCTCACGTAGGTGTAGAATGGGTATTGGCTATGGTCAGAAGAGAGTTTTGGGTCACCAAGGCTAGGCCTCTGATTAAGAAAATTATTAGAGCCTGTGTCACTTGTAAACGTCTGTATTCTAAGCCATGCCAGCAAATTATGGCAGATTTACCCAAAGAGCGAGTAGAGGCCGGTAAACCTCCCTTTTCATGTGTCGGAATTGATGTGTTTGGTCCATTCTATGTTAAATATGGTAGATCGGAGGTCAAGCGTTACGGTTGTTTGTTTACTTGTTTTACAACTAGAGCCATTCACATTGAGAAGCTAGACACCATGGATACAGAATCATTTTTAAATGGTCTTAGACGTTTCATAGCTCGCAGAGGTCATCCTGAGTTCATCTATTCAGACAACGGTACCAACTTTGTTGGTGCTGCAACTGAGTTAAAAAACAACATGAAAGAGCTCTCCCAGAAGATTATTAATGCCTATGCTCTCCAACATGATATCACGTGGCATTTTAACCCACCCAATGCTTCCCATATGGGGGGAGTTTGGGAACGTTTAATTGGTGTAGTTAAGAGAGTTATGATTGCCGTACTCCCCCGTACAGTCAGATTGACTGATGAAATTCTGGAAACTGTATTGTGTGAAATAGAGGCCATTGTTAACGGACGGCCGTTGACTAAGTTGAATGATGATCCTAGTGATCCTTCGCCCATTACACCCAATCATTTGTTGCTCTTGAGAAATAGTTCCAGTCATCCACCTGGTAGATTTAGTCACGAGCATTTACGTAGTCGATGGAGACATGTTCAACACTTGGCCAATCAATTTTGGCTGAAATGGCTGAAATTTTATTTACCAGAGTTACAACGGAGGACAAAATGGGTCCACTCTGTTGATAATCTTGCCATAGGTGATCTTGTACTGCTTGTGGAAGAGACAACACCTAGGAACTTGTGGCCACTAGCTGTAATAAAAGATGTAAATCATGGTAGAGATGGTCTGGTTAGATCAGTTAAGTTGAAAACTCGGGCCAGAGAACTTGTTCGTCCAGTAACCAAGGTCATTTTATTGGAAGGCGCGGGTCCGCCTTCAATTTGAGACTTTGTACATTTGATCAGTGTAATTGAGAATCATATATTTGTAACAGATTTTGTGTTAAGAATTGATACTACTTGAATAATGCGATTACAAGGTGAACTTTATGTGATGCAATTCATAAATTTGATGTTGGATGTTTGTCGCCCCTTCTAAAGTTTTTGGGTAAAATTTTGATGTAATGATTTATAATTATCAGGTGCAACCGTATTATGATACACTATTAGAAGAGAAGAGGTCGTTGGTTGGATATTTGTGCTTTAATTTGAAAGATTATTTGTCTTGTTATATGGACTCGTGGTCGTGTTAAGAAAACTAATATTTGTATATCGTATAAACGTGTGAATTATGATGTATAAGGTTAATTATTATGTTATCTTGGTTTCGAATAGTCATTCTCAGGGGGGAGTGTTATCGTCG